GATCCAACTATTAATATTTTTCAAGTCTCCTATACAGGTAATGCAAATCAAGTAGGTCAAAATTTATTTTGTTTTGCTGGTGTTGATTCAATTGGTAATCAAGGGGATTCAAATTGTCTCCGTTTTACAGTACAATTAGCTTCTGATAGTCGTAATACTCTCTATGTTAACAATGCAACTCATTTTCCAATGGGTCTTGTATCAAAATATCAATCAAATTGGACATTACTCTATCCAACAACAACAACATTTGTACGACCAAGTACTGATGCATATATTCGTTTTAAAATCACTTCGACTCAACAAGACTTTGTTACATATAATGTAGTAAAACAAACAACCAATGTGATTTATCTTTCAGATCGTTTGATTATATTATCAAATGTTGTTTTTAGTCCTGGACAAAATTATTATATTTCAATAGATCCAGGTGTATTTTTACCTATAGCAACTTGTTTACGAGATTCAATGGGTATAACAGATAAGACTTTTTGGCCATTTAATACAGCATCTGAACCAAATACAACAGTAACAACAAGTACTACATCACAGTCATCAACAACAACTTTAGTAAATCGAACAGTGAGTATTTAATCTTAATTGTTTTTTTGTCTTCATGATTGACTTATTCATATAGGTACCAACATTACGAACAATTACAACTCAAGTTACACAAACAACACAAACGAAAACAACGACTCGTGTAACTACAGCAACAAGTTTATCAACAACAACAAAACAAATTCATTTTACATCGCCATTTCCCGTCAGTGGTGTCGTTGGTATTTTAATTGGTTCATTAATACTAATTATGCTGATTAGCTTTGTGATTATCCAATGCAAGAGACGTGCTCCAACTAATCTATCTACCGAATCTAAGATAACACCAACAAAGAAAAAATCCATGGCCGACATTTTTCACCAATATCGAATAGCCACTCGTAAAAATACTCAAGCAGCTCGTCGATCTGTTGCTTACATAACGAACACTTCTTTATCATTCGGTTCAGACACTCAGCAAACTCTCGTTTCTATCGAATGTTAGAAAAAGCATATTTTATTTATTTCTAGTAATAAATATATTGTTCAAGCGTCATTCATAACTAATCATATTGAAGGCTTGATCTGTATTCGATTATTCTTTTCCACCAACAAACAAAAAAAACCTCTATCGCTATGCTATTCATAAAATATACGAGAAGCTTTTAGGTTGACAGTAAACATTGTCAAATCTTTAAAAAAATCTATCAAACCTAAATCACGTTCAAAAATGACACGTGAAAAGAAAAAATAAGTGAATCTTGATAAAATTTCTAAACAAGAAAAACATTTTTATCAAAAAGCTAAATTTAATGTCATTTAAAAAACCTCTTCAATTTATCAAAAAAAATAAACCACAGTCAACAAACAGTAACAAATCTGAACAGTAGAAACTAATATTAACACAGATGTGAATATTGATGATCTTATTTTTAACATTAGATATTCCTTTTCGGATGAAGAAAATGAACAATTCAATATTCAAACAGATGGTATCGATAATAATCAACATATTCAATCATACAAACATTTACAGCATTCATCATTTAATGATTCGAACTAACAACGATCGTTATTATTATAGGTTTTACTCAATGAGTTGATCGGCTGGATGTGAGTGTGTGAGTATGGGTGTTGTTTGAATCCAGAGGAACTTTCATACCCACACCCTATATATATGATCAATAAATTAACTTATCTATTAAATGTGCTAATACATTATATTGTTATTTACATATACTATACTAGGTTATAATAAATCTGATATAGATGTATGAATAGTTAATGTTGGTGTTTTTTTGTCTGGTAATGGTATCTGCGAAATAGATACCGAAATATCGCGTGTTATGAATTATGTCAAAATTTTAGCTGTTTTTAATTTTTATTCTATATTTTGTTTATACTCAATAACAATCTCTTTTCTACTTATTCTTCGTCTATATTAGAACACTATGCTTGTTTAACTCTCGTGAAGATATAAGAGGTATGAGTCATATGTCAACGAATATTTATCTTACTTTGTGTTGTTTTTAGCGTATGCAATTAATTATATCCTGTACATACTTTTTTTACATCTTTGTGAATAACACTATTCGCTAGGGGCATTAACATTTCACTGAATGTTTGCCTTAGAAAATGCTCTACATCATTACGCTAAACTTGTATCTGTTAGTATTTACGTGAATTTCAGATCGCTTATTAGCACTGTGTTAAGTCAACAGCTAGGAACAATCGATTCATCAACATCTACCGAAATGTTCTGCTAAGACTTTCCTGGATGATAAATTACTCCATAGATAAAAATACATATAAGACGAACTTATTTAAACATGATTTGATTATTTACATTAAAAATTTTTCTTGAAATTCATTGTATTTCGATGTTTCGGCTAATTATACTACTGTTTTCAAGATAATGTGACTTTGATACATCTGATAAGATAAAATAAAATTTAATCAAGATGTGTACGAGATATTGAGCTAAACTTTCTAGAATAGAAATTGACAGAGAACAAGAAAAATGTAGAATGTAAATTATAATGGTACAAATGAATGACTAGAATTTTGTAATAATCTTTAAACGAAAAATCGTACAATTTCCTGATCTTTAGATTACTGCTATATAAAATAGTGATTATAAGTTATATGTTGAGGAAAAATTCGCGACCAATTACTAAAAAGTGTTTTGCACTGTGATTAGATCAATCAAATGTTTGAAAGTTGATCGTTGATAAGCATTGCGAGGTATCTTTGTTTTGTTTGCGACAGACTTTTAGCGCACTTTCTATAACAAATCTATTCCGGTCCATATTATTTGCATAAGTATTTCAACGAACTCTTTTATAATGTTTTCGTGAAGTGTAATCTCTAGACAAGTGAGATTGAAGACGAATAAGTTTAACGGATCGCAGGAATTTCACTATTGGCGAATATTATATTAATGAAAGTCTTATTGGCGAAATTCCAGGACCCCACTTAAACAATGAGAGATCGAATTTTTCAAACTGGATAAGAAACTAAACTAAGTGAGCTATTGAGAGAATTGAAAACTTGGCAATTGTCAAAGACTTATTCTATGAAAATTCTCTCTTGTTTAGATTGAAATACTGTAACGAGCTGTATAGAATTCATACTTCAAATATATGAAAAATGATCAAATAAAAACGCCGTACAAAAAAAAATCTATGACAAGCAAAGAATTTTTATATTTTCACGGTCATTTTGTCTTGCAAAACCATAGAGATGTCATTACTTGTAGTCGATGATAGTGCTGTTACTTAAGAAATAAAGATGCCAGCAAATGTCTATTGTTGGAGTGTCATTTGTTTCAACTAGTATTAATCATACCTAGAATCACCACTTAGCCTAGTTTTCATCCTATCGACATAATGAAAACAAAATCTATAAATTATTCATAATATCCGGACTTAGGAAGAACGAAACATCACTTCGGAAAATGCATAAGATTTTATAATTTAGAGGTCTCAATGTCACTCATGACACGTCAACAAGCATTAAACGATGTGCTGTTCTCGAAATCTTCATGTCACAAAATATGAACTGTGGATATGGAGCCATGAAGAAAAAAAGCTCGACTGATAGCTAATAGGTGTTTCTCGTCTTAAGTGCAACTAAAGATGTAAACTTGATACGAAAAAACTAAGGATACTATTTTATTTTTATGTGTTTCAAATTTGATAGACCTAAATCATTTTACAGTGATTTTACACAGTCATCAATACAGGCAGATCCACACGATCCAACTATTAATATTTTTCAAGTCTCCTATACAGGTAATGCAAA